AGATATTCAACATTATTCCTATAGATACCTTATATAAATGTATCAATACATTTGAAGTGGCATTCCAGATGAATTCTATCGATACACTGGCCAAATGTATTGATAGATTTGAGGCAAAGAGTATTATGAGGGAATTGTATCAATGTATTTCCTCATGTATTGATAGATTTAAGGGTAACCCTTGGAGATGTATCAATACACCACAAAATGTATCGATATTTGCATGTGGATTTGCAAAATATATATATATATATAAAAGCTTTAGGCTGCTTACCCATTTAAAACAAAAAAAAACCAAAACCTTCTTAACCCTTTCTTAAAACCTTCTTCTCCTACATGAATTTGAGGTTTGAAATAAGGCTTTTAGAGGTTAGGAAATCAATTCAAAGGAAAATTTAAAGCTTCTTACTAATTGATTTTCAATTTGAACTATTTAAAAGTTAAAAATTTCATGTTATAGCTTTGCTGGCTATTGATGATGAATGTGGCCAGAGATTTGATGTTTGATTGAGCCAAAACACTATCTAAAGTAAAGGTTAAGCTCATTTGAAGAATTTGACAAATTTGAGTTTGTATATTGGTTTGTCAAAGTTTGAACTATTTTTAAAAGCTAGAAATAATTTGAAAGTTAGGATTCAGCTGTGAAATAGAAAGTTATCGTATAAATGTTGACTATTTTACATTATTAATGTTAGAAGACAATGAGAAGTAAGAATTCACCATTTTTCGAATGTTAAGTTGTTTAGTTGAGATTAAAGCCTTAGTGTGCTGAATTATACGAGCATTGGAAGGGGAACATCTGTATTATTAAGGTGAGTGGGGATTTTACGAATTTAAGAGCATGATGACTAGGTGTACATTTATGTTCCCTATGATAGTATGAATGTTGTGTGTTATATGTGAATGTTATGCGAGTCTAGAAATGTTATGTCTAGACTAGTTTATGCATTGAAGAACCATGTGGGGCACCTAAAAAATCATGCCTAGGCTAAATATAGAAATGCGCCTATGAGTTCATGTTATGATAAAATGAAGAATGCCTAATGATGCTCTTAAGATATTGACATGCAATAGTAATAATATTAATGTGAATTATGATGGATCTTAACAATTGAGATTTGATGATGGTCTATATACTACTAAATGAATGAATTGTTATATACTATAAGTGGTTATTGAGAGGATCAAATACGTGATTATGATGTATGATGAATGATGAATATGATCTATCTAGGGATAATTCCAAACAATGGAATGATACGAGGACAAGTGGGTCCATATACCTACAATTATGTATAATGCTAGCAAGGATAGTGGTTTTGTCCAGTCTGTGATTCCCGTGTCACGAGGTTGGAATTTTAGCCAAGTTTGTGTGGCGTTGTAGTCTTGTATTTGTAAGAATAAACAAGCCTTAACAAGGTTTCTTGAATGTCAGTGTAGAAACGTAAAATAAGTAAATATGAAGAAAGAGATTGGGGAAAATAAATAAGTAGTATTGCTCTGATGAGAGAAAAACAAAGTACCTAAGATCTAAGCACAAAGTGAATTTCTTGGTTGCTTGATGAAAAGAAAAGACTACCTAAGGTGGCTATTTATAGCCTCTAGCCTACTTGGGATGAAACTAAAGTAAAACAAGGAAATATCTAACCTAGGTTTCCTTAGTGTGGTAGAAAAGTAAACATATAGTTAAAGAAATAATTCTTCTAGCTTCGTGAGCAAGTAACCAACCATAACATCAACTTAAGGAATTTCAGTCTTCATGCAACCTATACGGCTCCTCAAAATCAGTCCTACCCTTTTTGCGCTGGGAGTGGCTTGTTAGCTAGATAGTGGTGTGCAGGGGTGTTGTGTTGGCTCACAAGTGTGCTAAATGCGCAAGTGGTGTGCTGATGCACAACATGCCCTAATAAGGCGCTTCAAATTTAGGCGTTGGGGCTTCCTTGCATAGCACCCAACTATGCTGCTTAATATTGAGGTGCTAAGGTTTTCCCTGGCACATGGCCTAACTGTGCAAGACGTGCTGTATGGGTGGCCCATTTATGCAAGTTGAGCTGGTCCGCAACATTCAGGGCGTAGCAGCTCATGCAACCCACCTGTAAACGACCTACACATGCTTGGGCCATGCACGCCCAATTGGCGTGCCAGGCCGATTGTGGGGAAAAGTGCCTAGAGAAGAGCTTTGTTGAAGTGTGCGTATATGGAACCCCTCGTCTGCATGTTGGTTCATCATTTGGCTGGGGTTGGACTCGCGTGCCGTGTCTTTCTCCCCACTTTGTTTCAGCACTATCCCAATTGTTGGTGTAGGATCTTTGTAGATTGATGTGATTGTGTAAAGCATGGATTTCAAAAAATTTCTTTACAAAGGAAGCAAGCAATTCAATTAGACAAGTGGAAAAGCACATCATTATTATTTCAAGTAACATAATCACATCCTAAAAAAATTGATAATCTATTAAGTGAAAAAAAAAACATACCTTTTATCTTTGAGATTCTTATTTTCAGACACGAATGAATGATTTCCCGACCAAACAAGTTAAGCACTTATTCTTCAAGAATGCTTCCAACTTGAACCTTAAGTAGACAAGGTGTGGAATGCTAGACTACAATATAGCAACTGATTTTGCCTCTTTTCATCCGAAAATTAATGGCTACTTTTCTTTCAAAAACTTTAGCCAAGTATAGGAGAGAGGAAGAAAGATACTGCAAAGTTTTGAGGAGGATGAGAGAAATGACGACTGAAACTTTGTCAAGAAAAGGTACGTACATCTTTTTTTTTCTTTCAATCTCTTCTCTTTTTATTAAAACTCTTACCTAAAAGGTTTAATCAAAATCAAGCACCTTTGAATCGATCTTGACCATCGATTTAGAGTTATGGAAGCATCAAACATACTCCATAATTATCAAAATTAAAATTAAAGAATAAATAATTTAATTTTTTAATTATTATTTAGAGTTCTTGATAAAAAAATTCCTTATTGGATACTAACTCTTATTTTATTATTATCCTTCTTTATTTGAAAAGAATTTATAATATATAAAAGAGTGATAGTCAAACATGGAGTCTCCTTTTAACAACATACATGCCTAGATTCATTTTGCAAGAATTCTCTGAGTATTATCTTAATTTAAGATAACTCTTTTCTTTAATTAAGAAAAAATATTTTATCTTGTCTAAATTGAGAAAAATATGTTTTCTTGTCCAGATTAAGACTAAAAATATTTTTCTTATCTTAAATTAAGATGAACATATTTTATTGTCTAAATTAAGACCAAACATG